CCCCACTCTCTCCCTCAATATACCTTTAAGTACTTCTTGAAAAAGAAATTTGAAAAAAAACCTTATAGGAAGTTGATTCATTTTTCTGTCCAAATGCCAACAGCTTTTTTTCAAATCTCATCCTATAGAAGTCGCTAGGGTTCCCACTGACAACAATAATTTATGCAAGACGAAAATGCCAGCATTAGTCATAGAAGAAAGACATTCATAATCCTCCTTTGTTTCTGAACTGAATTTGATTTGTTCCAACTTTGCCATTCTCAAAAATCTCACCTCCCCTCCTCTTCACACCCTAATCTACCTACCCGCTTCAAGTATTTTTTGAAAAATTCATCTTGGATGTACTGTGCTGAGAGTTGCACTAAGTAATAGTGATATCATCCCGCAAGTATAGACAAACGAATCTCCCAAGTCAAGAAGCCTAAGAGTGGAGCTCTGATTAGACTGTTGTTCCTTTGAGCAGACTCCTGCATACTCTGTGATTACCACCAATGTGCTCTGATGCTCTAATGTCTCATTCTTTCTCATTATTCCGAAATCTGAAGCAAATGTGTACAGCGCATCTTTTGGAATTAAGTATTGGAGTGCGTAAAGCCATATAAGATTGGTTTTGAAGATGAATGAACTTCAGGAGGCTGCATAACGACAGAAATCAAATTCCAGTGCTTAATTTCAGCTATTTTTCATTCAAGTTAAGAGGTGTTTTGGACGACAAATTGAGCTTTTGCGGGCTTTGTTATAAATCAAGTTTGTCATCAATGGGCTGGTTTTCCAAGCTTCCCTCATTTTCTGAAATCATTAAAGTGCCTGCAGGAGCTTAACTATCAACTGAATAAGTTTCTTGCTTGTTCTAATGATAATTTTTACAAGATCCAAAGCTTCCTTCTCTTCTTTTATGAGTGATGCCACAATCTCTTTCAATGCCATGTTCAGAAGCTTGCAAAATATCTGGGTTTCCCAAAATATAAGGCTGTCTTAAAAACTTTGGTTTTTTATGGCTCAATGCATGGACGACTTAGGTACCATTTGATTCAAATTTTTTCCTCTTTCTTACAGCTGTAGTAGCTCTCTGATCTACCCTGTCTTTGCAATGTTATCGCCATGGCTTTCGGAGCAGCTCAGCAGTAATGCCAAATCTTTCCTGAATTTTAAAATCTTTTATCCTGCTGTTTTCAAAAAGCGGTCCTTGGCAACACTGTACCCAATTTTTTTACATAGGCCACGTTTAACAAGTCCGTTATAATTATTTATTCAACAAAAACCACGGCTGTTTGATTAAGTTTACCACGTAAAAGTGCCGAAAATTACAAAAAGCTGCTTTTTTGAAGCAAATCAAACTTGATTATGTTGCATGAATAATGTTTCATAAGAATTGTATTTCAATTCGCAGAAACTTCAAAACCTTTAGTGTATTTGCTGCAGCTGGTTTCATGACTTTGCCAAAAATTGAAACCTCCGAAGAAATGATTTTTTGAAGCTCGAAACCGCAGATTAGGAGAATCTAACAGCACCGCCTTGTAGTCTGAGATTTGCTCTATTTGATTCATACCTAAGCCTTTTCGAAACTTTGGAATGAGATTTCTAAAAATTAGCCTGACTTCGAGCAGATAAAATTGACGGGTGGAGAATTTTGGCTGTTATCAAAAAAACATACATGATTTTGCTTCGAAAATGTATCCATAAGAAAGAGATGGAAAGCTGCATCGAATGCATGTTGAAATTCAGCTCTTTATTGTGCGTGGTTTTATAGTGGTTTGAAAAACGGACAAAATTTCGGGACAACCTAATACTTCAAGAAAAGAGTGAACGCAGCACTCCATTATTTATCACAGTTTGTTCTCTGAGGCTGCTTTTGATATTCAGGTATGTATTCTTGTTTAGTATACTTCATAATTACTCCCTCACCACCGCGGGTGGAGGGAGTAGGATGCCGGGTAACGGAAAAAAACAAGCATTTCCTGAAATACAGGCCCGAACAGCTAAATTTAGTTTTTGACGAGCTATGCGGCTCGTCAGCTTATGCTTTTCTTTTCTGCACATGTTTCGCCCCAATTTAATCGTTGTTTACACATGAACATTTGTTGCAGAAAAGAGGTTGGGCAGAGGGGGAGGGGGGGAGGGAGGAGGAGCAAAATTGCACGAAAATTTTGTTATTTCTTTTTTGTAGGGTGGACAAAAGATTAGAATCTCCCAATTCTTTTTGTTCCAGACTTAGCAATGAAAATGAGAAAGGTATCTTCCAGGTTTGAAATTGTTTGTTATTTTTTTGTAAGCTACTTTCTAACCATTCACAGAAGTCACTTTCAATTCTACTGCTAGTATTTATTATCACTTTTACCAGCTCATTCTGTTTTTCTTGGCTTTATCGACCAGATATATCATATTATTAATATGTTTCTCTTACTTGTTTGTTTCTTTTCTTCTGCAAAATGTCAAAGACTCGTCAATAATGTGTTGTGGTTCAGACAGTTGTTTTGTTTGCGATTGTATATCGAGTAGCATCAGATGAGTCAGGTGTCGAATATTGTCGAGAATCTTAGTCCTGGATCATAACTTTTTGAATTTTTGCCATATTGCACAAATTTAAGCAGCAGGCTCACAATCTGTATATTCCGACTCGCTTGCCTTCGAAGTGTTAAAACAAATTGAAATTTTTCAAATTTTTTTCATGGTAGAGGTCAGAATTTTTGGAGATTCTACACAGACTATAGTGCTACCCCATCCTTCCATCTTATATCTGGTTTACTGCAGTAAATGTCTGGAAATTTACTGTCCTCAATTTTGTCTTTTATCACCGTTGGATAACTTCACACCTACTTGATCAAGAATCTTCGAAAGACATAGACATATATTTGATTCTTTCGAGCATTTTCCTTGAGCAGCCTTTATTCTGTGATTACATTGAGTACATCATTTCAATGTAAAAATGCGATGTTATTTCTGATTACACAATGATTTTGAAAGGTGCTGCTACATATAAGCTTTGTGAAAAAACTAGATTTTACTAATTGGCCCGTAGTAAAGCTAATTTAGTTCAGGTGAACTGAACTGAGGCCTTCATCCGAGATTCGGTGAGGTGGACTGACTATCACCACCTTCTTATACTGAAAAAATGCAAAATTTTAGCTGGCCGTCTGTCTATCTGACGAGGTCGTCTACCTTACTTAAATCAGTTCACATTCAGTTAGACGATTGTCTATCTTAGTCAACAATCCTGGGAATGGCTCCAATTACCATTAGTTCGCTGACTTGCAAGAAATTCATGTTGATCTTCAAAAAAATTAGCCCGATAGGCCAGGGTGCAGCTTGTGGAAGATGATTTACATCCATAGAGATTTTTCGCATAAATTCGCTGAAAAAACAATGACTTGTCTCTATAAAGAAATGTATAACTGGATATATATGCACAGACCGGGACAATGAGTATGCTTATGGGAAGTCAGGCTTTACCTCCACTTTCTTGCCAGTAAGTATATAAATCCGAAAGTAAAGTTTCCTTATTATGGTTAAGATGCGTTCTCCTAAAGAGCAGTTTGTCATTCTCCTAGAATTTAGTCTCTGAATTATCTACATGAACCAACTTTTTCTAATGTCATAGCTGTCAACGCAACTGCTTTATAATCAACTAGCTGGCTTACCCGGCTCCGCCGTATCCGGACCAAACTTGGCACACATACACTTCGGGCCCCGGCGGATGTCACAGTCCACTTTTCGTTATCGATCGATGTCGATTTTACCGATTTTTATCGATTTTTTTGCAGAGTTCACCTACAGGGCTAGGAGTTTGCACAGGGGGGAAGTGAGCATGGGGATTCCGAATACAATATTAGTTTTCAGAATTATCGATTACTTTTATTGATTTTATCGATTTTTCGTAAATTTTGACCTGCGGGGCTGGGAGTTTGCACAGGGGGTAATCGAGCATGCAGATTACGATTACAATATTAGTTTTCAAGATCGTCCATTACTTTTATCGATTTTATCGATTTTTTTGCAAAGTTTGAGCTAGGGGGCTGGAATTTGGCACAGGGGGGTAATCGAGCATGCTGATCATCCCCAAGGGGGGATGATCTGCCAAATTCCAGCCTTCTAGCTCAAACTTTGCAAAAAAATCGATAAAATCGATAAAAGTAATCGATAATCCCGAAAACCAATATTGTATTCGGAATCCCCATGCTCGATTACCCCCCTGTGCGAACTCCCAGCCCCGTAGCTCAAACTTTGCAAAAAATCGATAAAATCGATAAAAGTAATCGATAATCCTGAAAACCAATATTGTATTCGGAATCCCCATGCTCGATTACCCCCCTGTGCGAACTCCCAGCCCCGTAGCTCAAACTTTGCAAAAAATCGATAAAATCGATAAAATCGATATCGATCGATGACGAAAAGTAGCCTGTGACACTCGCCGGGGCCCGTAGCGTATGTGTGCCAAGTTTGGTCCGGATCGGTTCAGAAATGGAATTTTCTATTCGGAACATACGTACACACATACAGACAGACAGACAGACATACAAACAGACATTCAGCTTTATATATAAGAAGATTGCCTTATTTGTTTTTATCAATTTGTCACGGCTACCAGACTCTAGTTTTCAAGTTCCTCAGTTTTTTGAAGGGTATTGAAACAAAACTTTCCAGGTATATATCGAGCGGTAGACGATAAGTTCTAAGCTTTTTGATTCGTAGTATTACAATTATCACTCATCATTGGTAAATAAGTCTTAAAATCTGCTCGTTTTTATTCATTCATTCACTCATTTATTTATTTAGTTATTTATTTACTTATTTATTTATTTATTCTCTTCCCCTAGTCATTCATTGATTTATGCATTACTTCATTACTTCAGTCATTCAATTATTTATTTAATTATTTATTTATTCATCCATTCATAAAATCATTCATTTCTTTCGTTCATTCACGATCATTCATTCATTCCATTTATTCATTCATTCATCCATTCATCTATGCTCCACCATACCATCCATACCATTTACAGGCAAACTCTAACCGCGTGGGATGTTCCATCTCTACCGGCGGCTCAAATGGGTCTATCAGAAATTCCATTTGAGCACATGGGTCCCATTCGTCGCACTGGTCTCCTACACCATATTCGGTGCTGTTCTGTTCAGGTTCTTTGAAATGGAAAACGATCGACGAGCTCGAGAACTATATCGAAACAGGACTGAATATGCCATGAACCAGGTAGGCGCTTCAGGGTAAATGCATGCCTGTCGGATCAGAGTGTCTGCTGAACAAGAAGCTGTTTTGACCATTTGCTGTATGAACAGAGTTTTATGTGTTCGACACAATGTACCTTTCTTTTTTCTCCTTCTCTAATTCGTCCCCCTTCCTCCTCCGAAATTCTTTTATTGCAGCGAGTGGGCCCAAAAATCTCTCATATATGTTTCTATTTTTGACCAGATTGATCATATGCTAGTATTTTTCTCATAGCTGTATATCGCTTCTTGCTTTTTATTATTCAACCTATGTCTATCTAAGATTTTAACAAAATTTTTTCATTTTATGACATTCGCATCTTTTTCAGGTCGTGGAGCGTATGCTTGAGGTACGATGTCATGATGTACAGTTACGAGAAGCAGATCATGACTATCAGGTTGGTTGGCTTTGAAGTTTGAAAATAAAATTTGGGGTTAATTGGCCGGCTTTGAGTCGAACACATGTGCTTGTTAGACTGCAAAACAAAGTGAGCTATAAATTTTACACACACTCTGCATAAGCGCCCCAGCGGTGATATACGTCAGCTATAGGAGGGAGGGAAAGGGAAACTGGAATACCAAGAAACTTTTTGAGAATTTATCAATTTTTAGGTACAACACGCAAGAGATGCGCTGACGTGGTTCTTGGTAGAATTAAACCTCACGGAAGTCATCACTGAAAAAACTAACGACACACCGTGGACGTGGCTTGGTTCAATGTTTTACGCTGGGCAGCTTTACACGACTATAGGTATGTTTTCACTTTTACCCACAGGGTAAGGTATTAGAGATAAAAATTAGGAGAAGAGTTTGTTTTTGGACAAAGCTCTCCAAACGCGCGATGGAAATGCCAATCAAGCAGGCTCAGAGTTTGAGGAAACAAATAAATACTTTGAGACAAATGCAGACAACATCTGGTATTTTGTACTTTTGCCAGAAGTTATTAACGAGTACTCTTTGCACTATAGTTAGAACCGAATATTCGTGTTCGAATATTTTATTCGAAATATTCGACTATTCGAATATTCGAATAGTCGAATATTCGAGAAAGTCCAATTATTCGATTATTCGAATAGTCGAATAAATGAAAAAGGCCTGTATTCGAATAATTCGTTCATTCGATTATTTGGAAAAATGAGTTATTCGAATATTCGTTTATTCGAGGATTTTTAAAAAACAGTTACTCGAATATTCGAATATTCGAGCCAGCTTGAAAAACAGTCATTCGAATATTCGAATATTTAGGAACATTCATTCGAACATTCGATGTCAAAAGAAAACTTCAACTGTTCTACACTGATTACAAGTATGTCTCCGATAGGTCAATCACACAAATGAATCATATGACAGAATGGCTAGCAAGCTTCCCTTTTTGAGGCATAAGTCGCGAATCATGCCAGAGCATAGTGACGGCAAGTCTTATGCATAATTCATTTGGAGTGCTGAACTATCTTCTGGAAATCGAGTCTGAGAAGCTGAGATGCGATATCATGCGGAAATACCTCCAAAATCTAAATTGGGTGAAGAAGCAAAGCCGTCATTGGGCGCTCTTTAGCGGACCACCGGTCCTCAAACAGCTTGCATAAGCATGTGAAGGACCAGCTCCTTTAAAGGGCCGGGCATGCTTCACGCGATTTCAGTCGCGCGACCAAATCGCCAAAGGTCTTCAGATCCAACATTAGCAAACTGCACATGCATAGTACGTATGACTTAGGTGGACTGATAAAATGTTCTGTCTTCTGCACGTATAAAATGTGCTTATAGTGAGTTATTGACAATTGGGATATTGCCAAATCGCAACAAGACTAAAATCGCGTGAAGTATGCCCGGCCCGTAAGGCCCCGGACAGACTTCACGCGATTTGATCGTCGGGATTTGATCGCCGTGATTTCTATTCATTTTCATTCTACATTCAAAAATTTCAGTCTGGAAAAGTATCACAACCGAAATGCAAGCTGATCGGCATGCAATGAACTCGTAACATTTGTCTGTAGCGATTCAGTCGCGACGATCAAATCGCGTGAAGTCTGTCCGGGGGCTAAGGCAGCACGTATAGGCAGCATTCATTCACTCATTCATCTCGAGATCTCCACTTGCCTTGCCAGCCTAATCACCGCCCGCATGTGAAAATACCTGAAAGATACGTTAACCATCGCAAGGCCAGAGCAAGATGGTCGTAGGGACCTGAGCCGCTTGACTTATGGCGGCAGCCTGTATGTCAGTCACTATATTCAAATCGGCTGCCCTTATAGTCAGGAGGCGTAAAAAAACTAGTGTTAGGATGTTGCAAAGTTCGTAGAGGAATTATACTTCAAGTAGGCGTATACGCTGAACAATAATTATTTTTGACCTGAGTAAAAGAGACGGAAGATCTGTTACAACAGTACAAATTTCAAAGATATAACCAAAAAAACTTCGTGAAAATTCAATCCTACAAAAGGAACTGTGAAACTCAGTGATTGATAATTTCCGAAAAGTACTAGATTAGCAGCTAAATTACAGATATTTCCAGGATTTGGATGCGCACAAAAGTATTATGTAGACAACAGTGCGTCACCTCTGCTGCAGAGGTTCACTGATTCTATAGGCGTACGTAGGCCTGGAAATATCTGTAATTGTTTGTACTGTACTTACTGTAGGCCTTCCTCGTGCTCTCGCAGGGCTAGTCTCAGAACTCACACAACGCTGACCATCACGAATAAGTTACGAACAACTACATACCTATTCTAGAAGGCTTTCCAGGTTGAATCTTCAGCTTTGGGAGGAAGTTCTGTTTAGCTTCGGGAAAAACTTCTGTGAGTAAGAATAAATGCGGAATTGAAACGGTTACTAAGTAAGGCTCAGTAGCCATCTCAAAAGCCGATGAACACCTTGAACTACATGTTTGAGTAAAATTCTTTTATTTCCTAGGTGAAACCCTGACCAAGTGACAATAACCCAGTCATCCTTACCATTTGCTACGCATATAATTATCAGAGCTACAAATCTAGATCTATAGCTATTTTTTTGCAGAAAACTGCAACAAAGAAAAAACCAGCATTGTTTGTGGCGCTAGATTATTCGAGTTATTCGAATAGTCGAATATTCGGAGAGGTATGATTATTCGAATATTCGAGTAGTCGATTATTCGAACATATGTAATTATTCGATTATTCGAATAGTCGAATATTCGACCAACCCCATTTATTCGAATATTCGTTCATTCGAATTTTGAAATGTAGCATTATTCGAATATTCGAATTCGAATAATCTGAAAATCACAGATCGAATAATATTCGTTCGTTCGAATATTTTTCAAAAGCCGATTATTCGAAATTCATTCGTTCGACGAAATTTTTCGCTCGTTTCAACTATACTTTGCACCACTCAAAAATAGGATAAATACACCTATACCCACGTTGCAGTACGTCTGAAAGCGGTTCATAATTGGTTTTTAGCTATTTATATTAGGTTGTGTAATAATTGTGTCCCATTTGTTCTTTCGATTTTTTCTTAATACTTTGCGCGATGTTCTGCAAATTCTTTATGTGCATTTGAAACCTCTAAGCCTTCTCTACTGAAACTTCCATTTCGGCTTTTTACATCAGAAGACTTGAAAGAGTTTTACAGCGTCAAATTTGGAAAATCAAACGGGGTAAAAATCCATTTTCGACAACTACGTTACGTCGCCCTCCAATTAGTCAGAATGCCTACGAATGAGCTCGAAAAATTTGCTACATGTAAGCAAAGAATGCTATAGCTTCTACTGCGCTTCAGGACTGCCAAAACTTTTCAAAAATCATTTCTGTAAACTTTAGCAAAGTCTTCTTTATAACGCCTTTTCGTTAACGTTCGGCATCATCTGAAGGCATCCTGAGGGAGGATGGTAGGCGGATCGTCTAGAAAAGACAGAAGCGGTGGTTTGTGGCTCCAATATTAACGAATTCATAGGCTAAATACCCAAATTGAATCTTGGGAGCCACACAGCTTGGGCACGCGAGACGGCGAACATCGCCGTGAGCAAAGTCTTGCTTTGCCGACTTTTGAAAAAATGTCATTAAATAGTCGGTGGAAAGAAGGGAACAAAAGCAAACAGTGATAGAACGAAGCGTAAGAGTCTAATAGATTGTTTTGCTTGTTGTCAAGCTTGTAATAAGATCTACCAACGAAAAGCGAGAAAAGTTTGGAGGAAAAAGGTGTCGAAAATTGATTTTTCGGCTCTTTGGATTTTTTGTTTCAATGATAAAAATCTTTTTCAAGTTCTTGCTATGTTCTGGAATGATGTATATGAGCTTGCAGAGCAGACTTGGAGCTTTCAAAAGCATATACACTTTATCTCAAATTAAGTCAATGTTGTCGAAAAAACTAAAACAATAAATGGGACAGAACTTATTACACGACCTAATAGCATTGAAGACCTTTGTGTGCTACACATTATCGCTATTATGTTTAGTATATTGAAAAAAAAAACGTCAAGTTCAAAAAACGCTAGACATTCAACATTATTTTTAGTTATCTTTAGAACAATGACGTCATTAATGTTGTGGCGGGGAATTCCTCACAACAGCTGTATCTATTTAAAAAACCGCAGCTATGAACGCCACGGGAAGAAAAACACCTAGGGTTAACTTGTGAATGGTTGAAACTGAAAATAACATTAGAAAAAAATATCTGAAAATAATATCGGAAAAAATTATAAGTTTTACAAATAATCAAGTGCATTCAAATATTAGCTACGTAATGAAATAAGAAGTTGATTCCAATAATTTTCTACCACAAGTAATCATCTTTCTTCCCAATGAACTTCTGTCGCAGAGAGTAATTTTTTTCGGATTTTGCTTGAAATTCAGGCTACTGAATCTCAAAACTTTCAGGTTATTTTTAATGATTGAAAAAAGTATATATGTTACAAGAATAATCATGCACTTGCTTTTAATCCTACCATACAACATATTTCGAGGATCTTAGATTGACATTTTTTGTAATTTTCTGTAAATTATTCACGAAATTTTTCTGATTTGATCTGTGTATTTCAGGCTACGGGTATCCTATAACAAGAACCCCAGCGGGACGGGTTGCCTCAATTTTTTACATACTTTTTGGTATTCCGATTTTTCTCATAATTCTCAAGGTAGGTTGCCCTCAGCAAAATATTTTCAAAAACGTGTTCTTCTTATTTGTTTAAATGTTATATTTTTATGCTTCCATAGCTTTTTGTAGGATATTGGTCGTCTTATGTCCCGTGGTTTTCGTAAACTTTACAAACGACTTCGTGGATCTCAGCAAAAAATTGCTCAATCTAGAACTCTAAGGCTATTGTCGCAGCCATTTATGGTAAAGATTCACTTTCGTACATCATTTTCTTTTCTGTCTCACATATCTACCCACTCTACAGAACTTATCTCCATCTGACCAGGAGAATTTGAAGGAAAAAGCAAAAGATGTCGAGTTGGGTCCCGAAGAGCAGGTTTGCTACCACTTTCTAATCGATATATCGATTAATGTCGGTGCAATGTCAGAACAAAGTAAATGCAAAACTGTATGCCGAAAATGCATTTCCTATTCCTATAGCACTTGCTATACTCTTCATCTGGATCCTATTTTCATCTGGCCTGTTTTGCCTTTGGGAAAGCAGATGGGGTTACCTGACTTCTGTCTACTTCTTTTTCGTCTCTATCAGGTACATTCTCTTTTTTTTTGTTTTTCAAAATGTAAGGATTTGCTGTTTAATTTATGTCTACATATACTGTTATAGCACCGTCGGACTGGGAGATATCGTTTTCCTTAACCCGGATATGATGATTTTCATGTTTCTTTTGATTCTTATTGGACTTGCGCTGCTTTCAATGTGTTTTAATCTGATACAGGTAGGTTCAGCAGAGCACTGGTTCCTGCCACTTTCAAATGACTTAATGGTTTTTTTATACAAAAAAATTTTTGTGGCCAATCAAAATGAGAAGCAACAAAAATCGTACTGCTCATGGGAGAATGCATTTTTTTGAGCTGCAACATTTAGTTCAACTTGGGTAATTGAACATTTCGTATTGTTAGGCACACACTCAAAAATGTGGTGCATATGGCAACCACTTTTTTGATATTTCTTTCAATTCTACTTAGCATTACGATATGCCGGCACCAATTTTGAATCAATACACCTAGAAAGCACAAGATCTCTCTTGAATACGTACAAAATTAATCAATTTTTCTAATTAGAAGGGTCATTGGTTTTGAAAAGCTGATGTGAGAGTCAAGCGACAACTTGATACTTTACAACTTTACATAATGGATCTGTCAAGAGTCATCGCCCTTTCTCACGCAGGAATAATGCTAAGTAAAAGCAAAAGGTCGAAAGATTTTGCTTCCTCATCTCAAAAATCGGGAATCTATCCGATTCACGCAAATGAGTAATCTATGGGGTCATTCAAGGCCAACGTTAAGCTCTTCTCACATGCACAGCTGTCAGCTCACTAGGTGCAATATATTTCAAGCGAAACTGCAATAAAAAGGTGTAAAAAGATGCTGGCACCGGGTTAAGGCACGAACAATGTTGCAGAATTGACCCAAACAAATTTTTGGTCTCATACTGGGTTCGCTTGCTCGCCTGGAGACTAGTATGAGTGATTGTGTAGTCACTCTTACTAGTCTACTGTACTTTTTGATTATGAGTGACAGGATCACAGTGGTAGATCACTAACCACAACTTATGCGATAAACAAGCATATGACAGAAACGTTTACCGCTGTCATCTATCATATACTCCCAGCGATTTGCTAGCACTTGGTACCACATGAAATACAAATGTTGACGTTGAGGAAGCTTAGGGAATAGAGAAAAGGCGAAAAAATTCCCATTTTAAATTTTTCCCGAAGATATGTTTTAGTAGCACTTTGATACTTTTTGGGCCTCAAACTTCGTCATGCATTTGTCAACTTCTTAACTGTAGATAGAGACAAATTATTTACTGTATGACGATTTGAAGAGAACCCTATGTGCTTTTCGGTATCATGTCATACCATACGAAATAGCCTTATATTGTAGGCAGCCCTTGAACGCTTATTAGATCGACTTCTCGAAGAGTATATCGAAGAAATCGAAAAAATGGCAGAAATCGTCGCACAGGACGAGTACATGGAAGAGGAAGTTGGACCACTTGAGTTCCGAATGACAGGTAATTTCAGAGTATAATTTTTTTCCTTAAAATTTGTACATTTATAAGAAAAGGGTGGTAAGAGAAAAAGAGAAAAGTCGCATTGCAACAATATTCTTTATCACTGCTCATTCACACTAATTTAGGGAATCTTCTTGCCTTGCCAATGAAGAAAGTCACCAAAGAGACGGGATTATTAGCAGAAGCAAAGAGCTGGGTAGCCGGAAGGTCCGACCGACTCTAAACCTTTTTTAAATTTTTTTTGCAAGCAATACCTTTTAGGATAGCGAATAATCTTCTTGCTTCTCGACTTGGCCCTCATGACAGTGATAGTGAAGAGGAGCACGAGGAAGAAGAATTGCAAAGAGCCAAGGAAGAGGAGGCACCACATGTGATGGTAGGCTCGACGTTCACTCTTGTTTCTCTCGGTTTCTGTTGTAGGGGAGCTACTCCAGCTGGGACCCCAAAATTTTGCCGAATAATAATAAAATATACCACGATAGTCTTAAGCAGCTACAATTTAAAAATCTTACGCTTTTTCACTGGATACTCACTGAATTCAATACAACGCACTGTACGTCAAAATTTCAGAAGCGTTCGCATTTCGTCTCAACCTCTTCGATTTTCTTAGCATGTGGTCCCCTGTGAAATTTTTCGGTTTCGAATCCTACGTGGTTGCCTCCGAGTATCGCACCGTAAAGTGGTTGTAACTATGCATTTGCTGGAAAAATTGGAAATAAATTGAAATTATTTGAAGAGAAGTAAAACACCTTGCGTAATCTGCAATGATAGAAGCTCTATAGAATTTTCATTCTTTTTATCTTTGTTTCTTTTCTGTATATGGGGCATTCCCACGGGTTTTTTCTTAATGACTGAACTTTTCAGTCTATCACTCCGTTTATTTAAAAAATTTTCAGGTCTCCGCACAATCCTCGCAACCATTTCAAACTCGGATGTCAAGCATTTCTACAGCAACTCCATCTATACGTGAGCAAAAATTATCCGAATATTTCTTGATATTTAAGACGAATAATTGTAAAAATTAGATCCGTATAGAATTTTTAAGGTTTCCGGGTAAATCTTCAAACTATTCCAAATATCTGAGAAGTAGCTACATAAACCGAAAACCCATGAAACTAAAACCTATCTTTTTTCTTATGCATGAAAACTGATGCTTCATGGAAGTCAACTGTTGCTTTAGGCTCCTCTCATCATAATCTCAATCTCAATCGCTATCATTTCCGCTATGGTAAACGAATGCTTGATGTGGTACGAACACTGGAGAAGATAAAACCACAGAAGGACGATTTTCGGTCAGACTTTTTGGAAATGCTGCGTTAAAGATTACAGATCGCTGTATGGCTTTCTGTCATTTTTTGGCAGCCACTAAGTCTCCCATATGAATGCACTTATATACCGAGAAAGTGTTCAGATCACTGATGTTCTCGAAATTTCTGCAAAATAACCGTTTAACTCGAATAGTAGAAGATCTACCACCGCCTGCTGTGAAGAAAATGGCGACAACCTGTTGTCAGACCGATGATGCCCCTAGGCCGAGGAAATTTTACCAGCGGCAACTTCGAGGTAAACTGTTTACTGTTCGTCATCTTTTCCTAAGGCAAATTATTTCAGAACTATCATCATCATCTCACTCGACGTCTCCAAGCAGATCGTTACATTACGATGATGAATCTCTGATGTCGTCAGCTTACTGTGACATCTACTTTGATTATTCAGCAGATGCGCCGCCATCAGCTCAACATTCAAGTTTTTCTGTAATGAAGGTAGGCCATTTGATTTCAGGGAGTGTGATCTTGTTTGGTTCAACAATATCGAGCAGTTGCAGTCTGTCATTTTCTATATTTATCCCATGTTTTGTAGTCAGTAGGATTCCAGAAGAATTTTTCATATTGTAAAGAAGTAATCTATTGTGCATTGCAAAAGTGCGAAAATTCGCTGATGTTATCCTTATTCGTATCAAAGCTAGGAAGTTAGAAATTTGTTCTCGAAAAAAACGATTTAAACCTATTTTAACCCTCACAATTTGATACCGGCTTATTGAATCAATTCATAAAAAAAGAAAGTCTGTCCAAGTATGCTGTTTTCGCGGTCCCCAGAGATATTACAGAATCAAATTTTGGTAGCCCCTAACATAACTATTATGGTATGGGAGTTTGGCCGATTTTTCAATATGATGTTTTTGCATAAATAAATATCCAAAATTTGGTGCAATGCTGCTAAAGCTACAGAGAAGTCCAAGATAAATAATACATTTACTCAAAGCTTGAAGTTTTTAGTATTATAAACGCTATCGTAGAAGATTTGACACATCCGTATAGTGGTAGGATACGTGGTTCTGTAAATATCATTGTGTAAGTGTTGTAACTGAACAAATTTGAAGGCCTGTGCATCCAGAGCTTAGAGAAGCTTCGGTGTTACTTTTGCTTGATGTGCAAATCACTAGGAAAAAAAGTTTTGCACTGTCAATTCGTTGGCGTTTTGTATGCTTCATCCTTACACCACATTGTGTATAAGAACACCTGCTTGATCGCTGTATTGCAACATTGCCTTTACTGTTATTAAATAATAGCAGTTGCTCATCGTCTGCTAGCTTGTTAAAAAGATTTAGCTGCATTTTATTGAATTTTTACTTTTCAGATGGAAGATGACGAACCACTATTGCCTTCAAAGTTAATGCAATCATCAAGGCTATGGAGGACTCCTCCGAAGGTAAGTAGGATACACAAATCTTCAATCAAATTTTGTGCTTTGGAGCTTATTATGCAGATACAATTTTTCGGTACGAATAAAGAATGGGAGGGACCTAATGATAAGGAAGCCGTGAAAGGGGGGGGGGGGGGGAGTAGATACGGAATGTTGCGTAAAGTGCTCTACAATCACATGACATCATATTTTTCATTGAAAGAAAAATAATTATGCTCCAGTAAAGATGACTGTTTTCAAAATACTTCACTGTTTTCAGAACACTTCATTAGTTTAGTTTTTTCTTCATTGGTTTTTTTCTACCCGAACTCATATGAGTCATTTGCACCTCTTTCACACCTTTTCAGTTGAACATACAACCTCTGTCGCTTCTCAAAGAGCTTTCACCTCCTTTCAACGCTATCGCTAACAATTTGTCGGTCAAATCTCCATCTTACACCAGCTTACGGTGAGTTATTCCAAATTTTAAGTATCTTGAGCAGCTCTAAAATTTAAAGGAAATATAATCTAAGGAGGTAGAGATGCCAAGCTTCCTTCGTCCTGTGAATAACGGTGCATTTCTAAGAACTGAAAAAAATCTGATAGGTAGAATTTTATTAATTAGTGGGGATCCAAATTAAAGAGAAATTGTGATTCTACTTTCACAGTTTGTCAAAAATTTTTAGGGAAATAATGCACGATGCACATACACCTATCGATGAGCCTTTCGACCACGTTCGATCACTATGTGGCTTGCTACCGTCTGACTTCGATACGCGCTCGATTTCTAGTCGGTGAGTAAAGTAAACTTGATATCCATGATTAAGATTACGTAAATGAACCTGAAGCTCCTGTTCAATCACTTCATCTATTAGAACGCTTTTCCAGCCTCTGAATCACAAAATTACGAAAAAATTGTATGTTGCAGATCTACAATGGTTGATTCTGGGTACGATAAGTCTCATCATGAAGATACCTTGAAGCAGGTGAAACTCATTAATTTCATTAATTTTACAGAACCCTAGCCATTGAATCAGTTTTCAGATTCTTTCTCCTTCACCAGCACCTGCTGGATACACAGCATTAGAATAACTGTATTTCCAATCGCTTTGAATCTCAGAAGACTGATGGTTGAACGACTCGCGATATTGTGACTTTTTGTAGTTCTTCATAGCAGCTTGATCTCCTTCATAGAATTTAAATGTTGTACCTCATATTTATCAAAGCATTTCCCAGCGTCATGTCCTTTCCTTATCCTGTACGGGTTATACACTAGTCAGTCATAATTATTGCATTGCCTTGTTATTAGAGCTGGAGTTTACGAAGTGAAATAAAGATGATATGCTTATACAATACCGCTAATAAGTTTTGCAAAATTATCGTAGTTTGACTTTACTCAATCGTCCCAATCAAGTCATTTTGCCTAACTAAGTGACATCACGTTAGCGTCGTATATCTCGTTTCAGAGTGGAGAAATTCTGTATCTGGGGCAATTTCGGCCGCGCGGTGCAATTTTTGACATAGTGGAAGTCAGGGACACGGTAGCTATACGGTAGAGAGTCGATATTTCTGCTCTCATTTCTGCAAGGACTGTTCGCACAGGGGCTGCTCATGCTCTGGCACCGCATATGAATGTTAAGAGAGATGACAAGGTGTGACGCCTCATGTTTGCTTTGTATTTTACAGTGATAGTTTTATGACACATCTGCTGCTGAAGTGGTATTGAAGTGTTGGCGCTAGTTATGCCTCCAAAAAACCTTAAGATGCTTTCTAAAATCTTCCTTATCGTATTCCAAAATCTTGAGAAAGATTGACTAATGAAGCAGTTGTAAAATCATAAAATTCAAGAATCATCGTAATTGTTTGTAAGTAACAACAAGTTCTTAACACAAATATATGGCTCATGTAGGCCACTTCCGATAATTTTTGGGCAGGAGACTCGATTCACTACTGTCGGAGCGGTTTTATGCTTCACAGTGTTTTTTGCATCAAGAGCAACACTACAGCACAATAATACTAACAATTTCTAGCATCAGACCGCAGTGTTAATAGCATTGTCAATCCAAAACTGCGACAAAAAATAATACCGAGTGCCACACGTCCCCAGCATTTTTCCGGCAGCATTATGACTATGCTATTAAATGTGTCTATAGAGTAGCGACGGTCAATTGGTTCTAATGAAGGCGATAATGGCATCACCGATCGGTTCCAAGAGTGCTGACGATATTGACCGCTACTGTCTACTTTGCCTTGCTGGGTGCCAATATCACCCGTGTTTTGTTTCGAAAGTAATGATAGTATTAATTATTTAGATGGCACTAGCGCAGCGCTATGTATCCCTACTCCTACTGCACTTTTTTGTTGGACGTAAACAGTAAATTTGATGTTGTAAACGCTGACAACTTATTGGACCATAGCTATTCAATTTGCATTCATGTATACACATTGTATGGTTAATACTTCGAGTCATTTGAGTAGTAGTCGCAAGTGACAATTGTTTTTGTGACCGCTATCAAATTTTTCCTATTAATTCACATAGGACACAACATTGTTTGTGCAAGCTTTGTCCATTGTACTAGCTTTGCAGACATATTGAAAGCCGTTGCAAATTGTATGCGTAAAATTCTGTTTAGCAGCAACATAAACAGCAGCACAACTCTCACGTTGCAAATGCTGCGACACTGTAGCACAGCCACTACTTTTGCATCTGTGTTGGTTGGATGGCACAAGCGCAGACCTACATACCACAACTGCTGTTGCATCGTTGTTAATTTAATGTTGGGTGTTGAAACCACAACTTCATTGTTGCAACTACTGTTGCATCTGTGTTGCTTGGATGGCGCATGCGACTTAGGTACCGCAACTGTTGTTGCATCGTTGTTGATGTTGGGAGATAACACCACAACTTTCGTGTTGCAGTCGCTGAGTACACTGTGGCATTTTGTTGTTGCATGTGTGTTGGCTGGAGGATACAAGTGCAGACTTAGGTGGCAACTGCTGTTGCATCTTGTTGATGTTGGGTGATAACACCACCACTTTAATGTTGCAGTTGCTAACAATACTGTAGCACCGCAACTATTTTGTTGCATCTGTGTTGCTTGGATGGCGCAAGCGACTTAGGTACCGCAACTGTTGTTGCATCGTTGTTGATGTTGGGAGATAACACCACAACTTTCGTGTTGCAGTCGCTGAGTGCACTGTGGCATTTTGTTGTTGCATGTGTGTTGGCTGGAGGATACAAGTGCAGACTTAGGTGGCAACTGCTGTTGCATCTTGTTGATGTTGGGTGATAACACCACCACTTTAATGTTGCAATTGCTAACAATACTGTAGCACCGCAACTATTTTGTTGCATCTGTGTTGCTTATATGGGACAAGCGACTTAGGTACCGCAACTGCTGTTGCATCGTTATTAATGTTGGGTGCTAACACCACAACTTTCATGGTGCAGTCGCTGAGTACACTGTGGCATTTTGTTGTTGCATGCGTGTTGGCTGGATGTCACAAGCGCAGAGTTAGGTACCGCAACTGCTGTTGCACTGTTGCATCGTTGTTAATGTTGGGTGTTGAAACCACAACTTCACTGTTGCAACTACTGTTGCATCTGTGTTGCTTGAATGGCGCAAGCGACTTAGGTACCGCAACTGTTGTTGCATCGTTGTTGATGTTGGGAGATAACACCACAACTTTCGTGTTGCAGTCGCTGAGTACACTGTGGCATTTTGTTGTTGCATGTGTGTTGGCTGGAGGATACAAGTGCAGACTTAGGTGGCAACTGCTGTTGCATCTTGTTGATGTTGGGTGATAACACCACCACTTTAATGTTGCAGTTGCTAACAATACTGTAGCACCGCAACTATTTTGTTGCATCTGTGTTGCTTGGATGGCGCAAGCGACTTAGGTACCGCAACTGTTGTTGCATCGTTGTTGATGTTGGGAGATAACACCACAACTTTCGTGTTGCAGTCGCTGAGTACACTGTGGCATTTTGTTGTTGCATGTGTGTTGGCTGGAGGATACAAGTGCAGACTTAGGTGGCAACTGCTGTTGCATCTTGTTGATGTTGGGTGATAACACCACCACTTTAATGTTGCAGTTGCTAACAATACTGTAGCACCGCAACTATTTTGTTGCATCTGTGTTGCTTGTATGGCGCAAGCGACTTAGGTACCGCAACTGTTGTTGCATCGTTGTTGATGTTGGGAGATAACACCACAACTTTCGTGTTGCAGTCGCTGAGTGCACTGTGGCATTTTGTTGTTGCATGTGTGTTGGCTGGAGGATACAAGTGCAGACTTAGGTGGCAACTGCTGTTGCATCTTGTTGATGTTGGGTGATAACACCACCACTTTAATGTTGCAATTGCTAACAATACTGTAGCACCGCAACTATTTTGTTGCATCTGTGTTGCTTATATGGGACAAGCGACTTAGGTACCGCAACTGCTGTTGCATCGTTATTAATGTTGGGTGCTAACACCACAACTTTCATGGTGCAGTCGCTGAGTACACTGTGGCATTTTGTTGTTGCATGCGTGTTGGCTGGATGTCACAAGCGCAGAGTTAGGTACCGCAACTGCTGTTGCACTGTTGCATCGTTGTTAATGTTGGGTGTTGAAACCACAACTTCACTGTTGCAACTACTGTTGCATCTGTGTTGCTTGAATGGCGCAAGCGACTTAGGTACCGCAACTGCTGTTGCATCGTTATTAATGTTGGGTGATAACACCACAGCTTTCGTGTTGCAGTCGCTAAGTACACTGTGGCATTTTGTTGTTGCATGTGTGTTGGCTGGATGGCACAAGCGCAGAGTTAGGTACCGCAACTGCTGTTGCATCGTTGTCATACCTTCGATAGTCTAGAGACAGGGGGGTCAAAAGTGAAGGTTGTTAGAACATCTGCCCTCATAAAAAGTGAAAGTTGTTTATAGAAGATCAAAGAAGAAAAAAGACCCAAAGCAGATATGAAAAAACAAAAGAAACTGCTGAAAACCGAATAAAAACGCTGCAACGAGCCTTTGAAGTCTTTCATTTGGCGGCTTTTTAAAGCGCACGTTTTCCCTCAAGCAGCAGTTCGCAACACGAGGAAATGAGGAAAAACTTATTTCTTTTCTGTGATTGTTTCAAGAATAAATCATGTTTCCGAAGCAGTGGTTGCCAAGAAGAAGATAAACAAGGAAGAAATCAGTTAAGAACGCAAAGTTTCTTTTTTTACTAAGTCGAAATGCGCATCAAAGCCATATTTAGTTCTTGATGCGTCCTTCAAATTTTTACCTCCGTATTTACGTTCTTTTCCTGGGAAATTGTCTGGATTGTTGCGCTTATTGTTCTGAGCAACAATAGCTTAAGTTTGAGACAAATCGCTGCGAAAGCACTGAAATATAACAAGGTAAAGAAAAACGCACTTTTTACGGTTTTTCACAGAAAATCCTACCATAATCAAAGAGATAAGCACTGGGTCGTTGCCTACATTATGAACAGAAGCAAGATCTATAGAATGCACGAAAAGAAAACCGTGCAAAAGAGTTGAACTAGGGTAAAACAAGAGATTTTCGAAAACAAAGTTTTTGCCGGATTCCTCGTCAAAACCAAGAAATGTGGGTTTGGCGTTGTCAGCGTGAAAGTAGAGATCAAGAGCTTTAATATGATATATAGCTTGCTGGAATTGGGTTCGAAACAAGAAGAGAAGTGTACCAGAGCCAATTGCCCCGCGCCCCGCGTTTGGGGTAGCGAGGCAGCGCGCAGCGCGCGAAGTCGCAGACAGCAGCGGAGACAGATCAAAGCTGACGGGGCATCTGGCTCTGGTCGTAAATCTCCGCGAAGTCTCAACGAAACTCTGCAACATTATATATTATAATATCATTCTGATCGCCATGACACGAAGAGGAGCACCGGTAACGTACCACGCGTTAAAATCACTTATTAACGAGACAGACCAGCGTTCTAGTGCGCGACTCTCTGCGCAAGATTTAAGCGCAATTTGTCGTTTTTGTTCAACTCCAACAGCTTTCCTGAACTTCTGAAACTCAATTTTGGTGAAATAAGAGATCAATCGAGGGATGTTGTCCTGAATTCTGGGGAAACCTTTGAAGAA